CATCTGTAATATATTATATAACAATGCCACTTAATCCTGTTGGCTGGATCTAATCATGTGGCCTCACCCAACTGCAAGGGAAGATGGGAAATGTAGTCTTTATTTTATGCAGCCATGTGTACTTTGGTGAAAATCAAAGTTTTTATGAAATGGAAATGAATGTTAGGGTAAACAACTCTCTCTGCCACAAATGTTTAATATTAATAAAATGTCAATTTTATTTAATGTTATTATGTGATAAACCACTGTTTCTACAAAAGGAAATGTATACATTTATATATTGATGGTGTGCTCATTCAGAAGGCCTGGCAAGTAAGAAAGTATGCAAGTAAAGACTATTAAATTCCTCATGCACTGCAGTCATATGAGGAGGGGGGTAAACAAGTTTCACCCTTAATTCTAATAATATAAAGAGCGCATTGTCCACAGTATACATCATATTTAACAGGGAAAGGCTGGAGGCATTCACACTGCACTCAGGTACAATACAAGGATGTCCACTATCATTAACACACACCCTGGAGATGAGAGCCAATTCAATCAGACAAGAGAAAGAAATCACAAGAAGAGCAAAATAGAATATATGGCTTTTGTGTCAGCACAATAAAACTCAACCTACCCAATGAAAAACAGTACAAGAAAAAACGCCACAACAAATGGAAAATATGACATAAGATGGCAGAAATAAATAAACTCTAATCTAATGGTAATAATTTTAAAAATCCCAATGGGTTGTCAATCTAAAACAATCAAAAGGCTCAGGATCTGGTTAAAAGATTTTATTCAAGCAAAAATGTGAGGGCGGCTTTCTGGGGACACACCTACACCAAAGAATGCCGATCAGTGCTCCCAGTGGGGAAAAATGAAGATCATTTACACAGGCAAAAACAAAGGCATTGAGAAGAATTAAAACACTTTCCATACAAAAGCTAACATACAGATAGAAGATTTCGTTAGCTACTACTGATTACTCTCAGAATGTAAGTGTTGCTTACATTCTGTTATAAAGAGGTAACAATCACAACCTTCTCTATCCCCAATGTCCTGTAGTCTAGGTTTGAATAAAGAAGAGAAAATCTCATTAATGGATAACATTTTGACAAGAGGCCAGAAAGCAATGGTCATGCACCAGAGAAGAAAAATAGCCATATTACATGACTTAGTTTTCAAGGCTTAACTTTTCCCTTTTGTGTAATAAATTTGGAAGGTCTTGACTCCCACACTAGATTAAAGAAAACAATATTCACCAATACAGTAGTTGTCTTAGACAAATTTGCAACCAAAGAATAGATAACCTTAAAAAAAAGAAAAAAAGACTGTGAAAAGATACCCCAGGCAAATGTGGAGCAAAAGAAAGTTGAGGGAACAATCTTAATATCTGACAAAACTAAATTCAAAACACAGAGAAATGTTATCTATTGATCAAAAGAAATAGCAGATTAAGAAAATATAGCCATGAATATTTATATACCTTCCAACATAATTTCAAAATATGTAAAGAAACAACAGACTATAGAAAGAAACATATAAATCAACAATTATATGAAGAATGTAATACTCCCCCTCAGAAATGGATAAAGCAGGAGAAAAGTAAGTGAAAATATAGAATATCTGAATAATGGAATAACTGAATACAGAGAATTCTATACCCAGTAAATTTAGAATATGCATTTTTAATTAAATGTTATAGATACACCAAAAATGACCATATATTTGCCCACAAAGGAATTGTCAATAATTATAAGGACTTATTATCACAGAGAGTATGTTCTCTGTTCATAATACGACATTAGAAATTACCAACAATGGGTCAGATGCAGTGGCTCATGCCTGTAATCCCAGCACTTTGGGAGGCCAAGGCAGGCAGATCACTTGAGGTCAGGAGTTCGAGACCAGCAAGGCCAACATGGTGAAACTCCATCTCTACTAAAAATACAAAAAAATTAGCCAGGCGTGGTGGTGCGTCCTTGTAGTCCCAGCTACATGGGAGCCTGAGGCACAAAAATCACTTGAACCTCAGTGGCAGAGGTTGCTGTGAGCCAGGATTATGCCATTGCACTCCAGCCTGAGTGACAGAGTGAGATTCCATCTCAATTTTTAAAAAAAAAAGAAAAGAAAAGAAATAACCAACAAAATGTTAGATGTAAAAATCCTATGACCAGGAAACAGGATTACATATTACAAATAACTTTTGGGCTAAGAAAACCAAAAATGAAATTAACAAGTACTTAAAATGCAGTAACAAACACTCCATTTCTAAATCCATGAGAACAGTTAAAGCAGAACTTTTCAGGTATTCAGAAATTTATCAAGCAAAAAAAAAAAAGACACTGAAAACATTTCATGTAAGAAGTTGCAAAAGGCATAACAGAAAAAAATAAAAGAGTAAAGAAGAAATGATATACATACAGGCAAAAACAAATGAAACCAATAACTAAAAAAAATAGACATTTCATAAAACCAAAAGCTAATTTTTTGAGGACATTAACAACATAGAACTCTGACAAGACTAATCAAGAAAAAAAGAGAAGATTAAAATAAAGAGTAAAATAGGAAATATCTACAGACACAAAATGGATTAAATGACCACAAATAAAACAGCTACATATGTTACAGCCCAACAGGTCCTTCTGCCTGCTGTCCAGGAAATCCAATGCACTAAGAACAGCAGGTTTTGCAGCAAAGATAGAGTATGCTTATCACAGGACTAGCCAAGTGGAAGGATGAGAGACAAATCTCAAATCTACCTCCCTAAGAATTCTGAAGTTGTCAAAGCTATCTTCTTGAGAATTGAAGCTGTCTTCTTGCACTGAATCAGTTCCTGGATGGGAGTCACAAGACCCCTTAGGGGGTTACTAGTCCAAGTAGCACCAGCTGATCCATCAAAATGCAAGGTCTGAAAGATACCTCAAATACCAGTTTTAGGTTTTATAATACTGAAGTTACCTATAGGAGCAATTGAGGAGGTTACAAATCCTGAACCATAATTCTAAACTTGTGGCCAATTTGTTAGTTTTACAAAGGTGGTTTCAGTCCCTTACTATTTTTATTTTTTTGAGACAGAGTCTCACTCTGTTGCACCCAGGCTAAAGTGCAGTAATGTGATCTCAGCTCACTACAACCTCTGCTTCCCAGGTTCAAGCAATTCTACCACCTCTGTCTCCTAAGTAGCTGGGATTACAGGCACCCACCAGTAGGCCCAGCAAATTTTTTTGTATTTTTAGTAGAGATGGGGTTTCACCATATTAGCCATGGTATTCTTGAACTCCCAACCTTAGGTCATCTGCCTGCCTTGGCCTCCCAAAGTGCTGGGATTATAGGCATGAGCCTCCACACCCAGCCTATTTTTATACCATACTGTAGTCTATAAAGTATTCAATAGCATTATATCTAAAAAAGTCAATCAATGTGCATACTGTGAAGGAAAAACAAAATCTTCGGATCCCAAACTCACCATGCCAAAGGGCAAAGTTCAGCTTGGGAGCCGAGTCATGCAAAAACCACCTTCCTTTTGTTGCATTAAAAAAAAAGCCCATCTATCTCCGCAAGTGGCCTCCCTCACAAACTGCTCACAAGGAGATTCTTTTGTGGACCCCAAAATCTGGACCCTAAAACAGAATTCTGTCAAATCTTGAGCCCTGACAATGTAAATTAACAGCTTATCTTCACAAATATAGAAAAAGACAGACTAGAAATCATCCCTCCCCCCATCCTGAGACAAATGCCTATCTGACTTCTCCCTCTACTCTACATTTACTTTATCGTATATAAAAACTCAGTAGATATACTGAGTTTGAGACAAATGTAAAATTGACTGGTCCTCCACCCCTCCTTTCACATGTAACGTGGATTCAGTGAGCGCTAATCAAAGCCGCACAAAAACGTGGCCACTTATCTCACTACCTAACCTCTCCGGTTTTTTCTTCCCCCCTTTCCTTCCTGCCACTCTTTCCCCTTTAGATATTGAAGTCCTCAACACCTTCTTAAGGAAAAGCACAGGCCACAGATCCTATCGTCACTTGTGTCTCTTTTTCCCAGGCACGCCTTCAAACTTCACTAAATAAACCTCTAATTTGAGTGATATCTGTCTCCGACACCTTTTTGGTTTATAATACCTTAATTTAAAAATACTTTATTGATAAAAAATGCTAATGAGCCTTCAGCAAGTCATAATCTTTTGGTTGGTAGAGGGTCTTAACTCCATGCTGACGGCTGCTGACTCGTTAGTGAGGTGGCCGCAGAGAGCTGGGGTTACTGCGGCAATTTCTTAAAATAAAAGAGCAATTTTTTAAAATAAAACAGCAAAGTTTGCAACATCAAGTGATTCTTCCCTTCATTAAAAGTTTCTCTACAGCATGTGATGCTGTCTAGCTGCAATTTTTTTAACTTTTATTTTAAGAGGTACATGTGCAGGTTTGTTAGATAAGTAAACTTGCGTCATGGTGGTTTGTTGTACAAATTATTTTGCCACACAGGTTTGTTTTTGTTTTGTTTTGTTTTGTTTTTGTCAGATGGAGTTTCGCTTTTGTTGCCCGGGCTGGAGTGCAAAGGAGCGATCTCGGCCCACTGCAACCTCCACCTCCCAGGTTCAAGTGATTCTCCTGCCTCAGCCTCCCAAGTAGCTGAGATTACAGGCATGCACCACCACATCTGGCTAATTTTGTATTTTTAGTAGAGATGGGGTTTCTCCATGTGGGTCAGGTTGGTCTTGAACTCCCAACTTCAGGTGATCTGCCCACCTTGGTCTCCCAAAGTGCTGGGATTACAGGCATGAGCCACTGTGCCTGGCTTTGTCACACAGGTATTAAGACTAGTACCTATTAGTTCGTTTTCCTGATCCTCTCCATCCCCCCACTCTCCACCCTTTGAGAAGCCCCAGTGTATGTTGTTCCCCTCTACGTGCCAATGTGTTTAACAGCATTTTACCCAGAGTAGAACTGCTTTCAAAATTGGAGTGAGTTCTCTCAAACCCTGCTGCCGCTTTATCAACCACGTTATGTTATATTCTAAATCTTTTGTTATCATTTCAACAATATTCACAGCACCTTCAACAGGAGGAGATTCCGTCTCAGGAAACCACTTTCTTTGCCCATCCAAAACAAGCAGCTCCTCAACTGTTCAAGTTTTGCAACAGTTCAGTCACATCTCCAGACTCCACTTTAATTCTAGTTCTCATGCTGTTTCCACCACAACTGCAGTGACTTCCTCCACTGAAGGCTTGAACCCCTCCAAGTCACCTGTGACAGCTGGAAGTAATTTCTTCCAAACGATATTTTAACCTCCTCCCACAAATCACAAATATTCTAGAGTGGTGAATTCTTTCTAGATGTTTTTCAGTGTACTTTGCCCAAATCCATCAGAAGAATCCCCATCTGTGGCAATGATGATAGCCTTATGAAATGCATTTCTTAAATAATAAGACTTGAAAGTCAAAATTTCAACTTGACCCATGGGCTGCAGAATGCGTGTTATGCTAGCAGGCATCAACACCAACATTCACCTCCTTGTATATCCCCATCAGAGCTCCTGGGTGACTACTTGCATTGTCAGTAAGCTGTCATATTTTGAAATGAATCTTTTCTTTTTGAGCAGCAGGTCTCCATAGTGGGCTTGAAGTACTTGGTAAACCACACTATATAAACGGATGTGCCGTCATCCAGGCTTTGTTGCACCATCAATACAGCACACACAGAGTAGATCTAGCATAATTCTTAAGGCCCCTAGGATTTTCAGAATGATAAATGAGCATGGGCTTCAACTTAAGGTCACAGCTGCACTGGGCCCTAACAAGAACCAGCCTGTCCTTTGAAGCTCTGAAGCCAGGCATTTACTTGTTTCTAGTTATAAAAGTCCTCTATGGCATCTTCTTCCAACAGAAGGCTGTTTCATGGACATTGGAATCTGTTTAGGGTAGCTGCTTTCATCAACGATCTCAGCTAGACCTTCTGGATAACTTGAGGCAGTTTCTACATCAGCACTTGCTTCACCTTGTGTTTTATGTTATGGAGATGGCTTCTTTCCTTAAACCTCATGAATCAACTTCTGCTCACTTTGAATCTTTTTTCTGCAGCTTCTTCACCTCTCTCAGCCTTTATAGAATTGAAGAGGGTCGGAGCCTTGTTCTGGATTAGGCTTTGCCTTAAGAGAATGTTGTGGCTGGTATGATCTTCTATTCAGATCATAAAACTTTCTCCGTATCACCAATCAGCCTATTCCACTTTCTTATTATTTGTGTGTTTACAGGAGTAGCACTTCTAATTCCCGTCAAGAACTTTTCCTTTGCATTCACAACTTGGCTGTTTGGAGCAAGAGGCCTGGCTTTCATCCTGTCTTGGCTTTCGACATGCCCTCCTTACTAAGCTTAATCAATTTTAGCTTTGATTTAAAGTGAGAGATGTCCAACTCCTCATTTCACTTGAACACTTAAAGGCCATTGTGGGATTATTAATTGGCCTCTCAGAGAAATGGGAGGTCTAAAGAGAGGGAGAGAGATGGGGGAATGGCTGATGAGTGAAAGTCAGAACACATAACATTTATGGAGTAAGTTCACCATCTTACATGGGCATGGCTTATGGCATCCCAAAACAATTACAATCATGACATTAAAGATCACCAGGCACAGGTCACCATAACAGGTATAATAATAATGAAAAGGTCTGAAATATTGCGAGAATTACCAAAGGTGACACAGAGACACAAAGTGAGCACGTGCTGCTGACAAATGGCACCAAGACACTTGTTTGGCACAGGGTTGCCGCAAACCTTCGATTTGTAAAAAACCCAATATTTGCAGAGCACAATAAAGTGAAATGCAACAAACCAAGGTATGCCTATACATATTTCCAACCAGATCACAGTACCACAGTGGAAATGGAGATTTTCTGTTCTATCTTGGCAATTTTTCTGTAAATCTAAAAACCACTCCTTAATAAAAAGGTATTGGCATGTAGAATGAACAAGGGTAGAGATCTAACATGCAACGTGACAACTAGAGTTAATAATGTGTTCAGGATTTTGACTTAAAGAATAGATTTTAGGTGCTGTTGCCATACACCAAACAAAAGGTGGGGTAATTACGTGAGATGATGAATACAATGATTTGTTTGACTATAGCAACCATTTTACTGTGTGGAAACAATATGTTGTACACCTAAAACATATATATAATAAAAAATAAAGTTATTACATTTTTTAAATCTAGTAAGGAAAAAGAACGTCTTCAGTGGTTCCTGTACTTTTAAATCCAAGTCCTTTGTCAAGAAGCGCAGTCTTTGTGAGCTGGTCCTACCAACCACTGTAGACTCATCTACTTGACAGCACCCTTCGTGTTCTACACACCAGCCACTTCTCCAAATACATCCTGCTCTTCCCTGCTTCTGCCATTCTCTGTGCCTGGAATGCCCCTTCTCTCCACCCAGTACCTGCACCCATGGATTCACACCAATGGGTAAAAACCTTTGGCCTCCCTCAGGGTTGTCTTGGGGTAGCCAGAAGCTTCATGCCCAGAGAGCCCTGTAGTTCAGAATGTTCTCCTTGAGTTGATATTCTTTCTCCTAACTTCTGAGGCCCTGGAATGGAAAAGGCAAGGCTAATGCCCCTTCACATTTCTCTAGATGGCTGAAGCCCAGCCTCACCAAGTTGGTAACCTTTCTGCTGTGCTGCAGATATGCACTGTGTTCCCACCAGAGTTCTCCTCTCCTGCACAGTACTAGCTGCTCACACAGGGACACTCAAGTGCTCCAGGGACCTGTGGCTCTGGCAATCATGAAATGGGGAGATGGCAGCGAAGGATTAGAAGAAATGTTTAGAGAAGATCATTCCTAAGGGGGGACAAGACCAGGGACGAGGGCAGCAAGAATGGAGAGACGTGGGAAGCCTGCTTCATATCTGTCTTGGTCCATTTGCACTACTATAAAGGCATACTTGAGGCTGGGTAATTTATAAAGAAAAGAGATTTATTTGGTTCATGGTTCTGCAAGCTGTATAAGAAGCATGGTGCTGGCACCTGCTTCAGGAAACTTCTACATGGTGGAAGGGAAAGGGTGAGAACCACTTGGAGAGAGGCGGAAAAAGAGAGAAAGAAGTGCCACACTCTTTTTAATCAGATCTCATGAGAACTAACAGAGAACTCATTCATTATCCCTAGGATGGCATCAAGCCATTTATGGGGGATCCACTCCCATGATCCAAACACCTCTTGCCAGGTCCACCCCAACACTGTGGATCAAATCTCAATATGAGATTTGGAGATGACAAATATCCAAACTATATCAGTACCGCTCACCCAGGCTATAGAACAGAATGGCTGGTGGGAACACTGAAAAGGGCTCAGCAAAAGAAGAAATGAGAATTCTGCAAAATGGCTTGGGCCTGGGGATGGCCCCTGGTTTTGATCTGCAATGCATTCTCTGTGGTGCCCCGAAAGGGACTTTGGCATGCCTTGGGGACATGTAGTCACAGCTGGAGGAACCCTTGCTGCTCCACTCCCTAAGCCTGAAGACTAAGAAGGTACAGCAGCCCAGGGTGGACCCCAACGTTGACCCAGTACGGGTCCCTCTACCAGCCAAAGTATCTAGATACAGTTAGTCATGGTTTACTTCAGATCTAAATGACCTTCCTGGATTGGAGGCTGTTCTCCGTCCTTATAACCACAGATCATTTTCAGATGTCGCCCCCAATCCTTAGACCTTATCAAGCACTGGACAATAATCGCTCCATGGGTCCTTATCTAAGCTCACCTCTTACGGGTCAATTTCCTGGGTCACAGTCCAAACTGACTCAGAGATTGCCACACCTTACAAGGGAGGGCTAGAATCCACAGGATAGATGACTTCTGAGAACATTTCCAGCTCCAAAAAATGCTCTGAATTTCTCCACCAAATCTGCACAGTCAGCCTCTTAAATCCTGTTATCCTTCCTTCTCTGAATTCCTTATTTTCAATTCCTCTGCAGTTCTGCTGGAATCGAATGAAACCCTCTTTCTTTGTGCCCAGGCCCCATGAGAAGAAAATATCTATGCTGGAAAGTGCAGGGTGGGCCATGGAGTAAATGCCAGGCAGCCACACATAGAAGCTACTTTGCAAGTAACAGATTACATTTCCATCCACATCCCCCTCACTCACGTTCTGGCATAAAGCAGAGAGGGGATTAAAAATGAGGAGGCTTCCATAAAGTCAGGCAAAATTAATTAGCTGCAATATCCCTGCTGGGCTGCCAGGTAAATTTCATAGTGCAATCACTGTGAGCTCCTGCATTAATGCAGCAATAAGGCCTTAAATGTCTTCAATATCCCATTTTCCTCCATGCATGGGCAAGCTTAAGAATTAGGTACTAGCCCAGCTGCCATGCTTGGCTTCAAATCTAGAGATAATCAAATTTTGTACAGCACTTCCTATAGAAAAACACAATAGTTGTTGTCTCTACATTTTTTTCTCCTCCAATACTTAGCTCTTCAACACTGGAAAGAGGTTGGACTCCTCTCCCCGGGCCCACAGTCAAGGTGCTGTAGGCAGATGTAGGTCATTGGAAAGGCAGCAGAAAGCAAATGGGAGTCCCTGTTCTGCCTTAATTGACTGCAATTTTGGGCATTTTGCTTAGCCTCCCTGGATCTTAGTCTCCTCACCTATAAAACAGTAACAACAGCACCCACCTTGTCTGTTTCCAGGTATCCAGGTATAAGATCATATAAGATTATGGAGGATGCACTTTGCAAACTCTGCAGTGATTTAGTGACAAAGTGTCATTAGCAGGAAAAAAAAAAAACCCAGCATGCAGAAATTAGTGCCTGCTCCCACCACCACATGCACCCACATCCCAGGGTGAGCCCTGCCTGAGTGTTGGGTCGGTATCAATACCGGCAGCTATGGACGTGGTTGGGTATCCAGCCCCTATTGCCCACGGCTGATATTCAAGGAAGAACCACATTATTCCTCAGCTAAGCTTTCTGAGGTTGAGTCTTCACCAAAGCTTCAATACTTACTCATTTACTGCTAACAGCTTATGGTGAGAAACACAGCAATCCTCTAACCCGTAAGGTTCACAAGGCAGCTTGCACATTCGCCTGGACAACTTTGAGAAGTGTAACGCCATGGTCAAGTCAGGGTTATGATATACAGGGGTTGAGTAGCCAAGCTTTGGAGCCAGGCTGACTGAAGTTTGAATCCTGACTCTGCAACTTTGCCTTTCTGAAGTTTCCCCAGCTAAATGGGAGTCGTAATCCTTGCCTCATTGGGTTGTTGGAACGTGTATAACACAGTACCTGGCACACATTTAGTGCCCAGTACAGTCCTATATAGCACCAGCCACATGACGTGCACTGAATTGCAGCTTATTGATTGGCTGATTTTCATCTAAGAAAACTGAAGGTATGGGAAATAAACCTTGGGGAAAAGGTGTGAAAAAATTCAGTGGATTGTGGTATTTGAATTACACTTAATGGCCCAGAAAGCAGAAAAAAAGAGAAAGCTCAGAAAAAGAGCTTGGCTCCCAGCAGCAGCCTGTCACACACAAGGAGCAGCAGGGTGAACTGGAAAGAAGATACCATCTACGCCTCCCTGAACACTTCTGCTGATGAGGAATCCTACTACCTTCGTGTGGCTCAGAGAGCCATAGGCATCAGAAAGCCTTCCATGTGCCAAATGAAATCATCTCAGTAGCTCCAGCATGGCCCTGGGGCTGCCTTCTGCTGCCGCAGAGGGCAATTCTACCTCTGCTTCCAAAAGGTAGCCCTACAGAAAGCACCTTTTGTCTCCTCTGAGGGCCTCTCATTTCCTCCTCAGTCCCCAGTGCCCCAGAGAGGCAGTGTTGCCTAGTCCTTACCCAAAGGGATTTGGAGTCAGATGGACATGCAGTAAATCTCATCTGGCCTCGGTCCAGTTACTTTACCCTCTTAAGACTTAATGCCTCTTCTGTAATATGGAGAATTTAGTAGAAAAGTTACCTCATAAAGTCTTGTGCATAATGTGAACGCCAGTCCTAACTCACATCAAGCACTCACTAAATGCTAGTAATTTTTATAAGATGCAGAATTTAAAGTAGATAGCTGTTGAAGTTTTGTGCACAATGCGAGCATGGGTCTTAATGCATATTAAGTGCTCCATTAAACACTAGTAATATTTCTTCCTTTCAAACTCTCTGGTACTTATGATTCTGACACCTTTAACCATTCTCGTATTGTACCTTAATGATTTACCTCTATATATATCAAAGACATGAAGGGGGCTAGTTTCCTCCTAACTCGCTGGCTGCTACCACTCAGTGTGCTTTGCTGACTCAGGCTGTCTGTGCTTCCTCTAAATGGTACAATGTCCAGGCTTTGTCTTCAAGCCTCCTCTACCCACCCCTGGATTTCAATAATACCCTCATGTCTAAGACTCCCAACCATTTTAGTTCTAGCTCAGACATTTCCATAAAACTCCAGACTCATACACCCAACAGTCTACTTGACATCTCAATGTGGATGTTGTGTAGTAAATAATTTAACCTTACCCTACCAGAGGTCTGGTCTTTGCTGTTGGTTTCTGGGAGGTCATCTATAAGTATTTGGAATGTCATGCCTGACAGAAGCAGGACTCCCCCAGGAAGGTTCACATCCTCAGAATAAGATGCCCCTTGCTGGTTCACCAGGTCCTTTCTGGTTCTAGCTGCAACAGTGTCTGTGTTGAGGAAAGAGCTACGTCAGCTGAACAGCAACTCGTAGGCAGGCTGGTTACTGAACACACTTCAGCCTTCATCTCGTGCACTTACTGCAATGGAGCGGGGGCAGAGCACTGACTCCCCTCCAGGAGATGGGTTTACCATTCATGGCAAAGTCTAAAAACAGGATTGGGTGGGTTCAGTTCCTGCCCAGGCAAAGGTCAGAGGTGAGAGCTGATCGGGGTAGTGGAACAGACTGCTGACTCAGGAGCTCTTACTAAACAAATAGAGAGCAAAATTAAGGCCAGGGCCTGCCTTCCTCTTCACTTCTCTGTCCTCAAGGCCTGACCCACATCAAGATCCGAAAGCTTCCATAAGGTGAGCCAAGAGCCTGCAGCCACTCAAGACAGGGTCCTGCAGACAGGCCTGGATCCAATGTCCCCGGAAGATGGGACACCGCATACTTCAGGGCCATGGCCTGCTTTCCACTCACTCACTAGGAAGAGACAGATGAGGGAAGCCAGCAGGCTCTGCCTGCCAATTAAGAGCAGCTGGAATGAAACCAGGTCAGGACAGGAATTGACAAGAGCCACCTCGAATCCTCCCATCACCCCCCCTCCACCTGCTCAGAAATATCTCAGCCCTGAGGGATTCCCTTCCATACAGGTAGCAGAGAGAAGGCCTATACAATGATGGAATAAAAGGTGACTCAAAAGACATTCCCTTTAGGAATAAAGGGAGCTGGAAAAGAATGAAAGAAAGCGATCTTTTTATTGCAGCGTTTTTTTCTTCTCTTACAAATCATTGTATCTGAAAGGTCACCCTGTGAGGTTGACGCCTTTCCTAAGAATGTGCCTTCTTTCTATTCCCAATCATGGGGTCTGTGTGTCACAAGACAGAAAGGCCAATGTGGTGGCTTCTTACAAAATCTTAAATGGTGACCACGTGACTAGCTAAAAGGAAACTTTCCTAGGCTCTATTTAAACATTGAATTGATGTGTTGCTCTGCTTTCAGGAGTCCCTCGCCAATTCTGCCTGAAAAGAACTCCCATATGGTTTGGCTCTGTGTCCCCACCCCAATCTCACGCTCAGTTGTAATCTCCAGTGCTGCGGGACGGAGCCGGTAGGAGGTGATTGGAGGGTGGGGGTGCTTTCTCAGGGTTTAGCGTCGTCCCCCTAGTGCTGTCTCATGACAGAGTTCTCACAAGATCTGGCTTTTTAAAGGTGTTTAGCACCTTCTCTCTCCCTGTTTCTTCTGTCTCTCTCTCTCCTGCTCCACCATGGTAAGACAGGCTTCTTCCCCTTTGCCTTCTGCCATGATTATAAGTTTCCTGAGGCCTCTCAGCTGTGCAGAACTGTGAGTCAATTAAATCTCTTTTCTTTATAAATTACTCAGTCTCAGGTGGTTCTTTACAGCAGTGTGAGAACGGACTAATACAAATCCTGAGTGAGAGGCTGGTTTTCCAGAGCATCTCAGGAGGCGGTGATTCTGGTTCATCTAATCTGTATGCCATCCTGTATCTACCCAACCATCTATCCATTCATTCTTCCATCCACTTACCCACCCCACCTCCCATTCATTCATCTATCTACCCTTCCACCCACCCAAGTATTCATCTGTTCTTATGACAAAGATTGGCTTGGTGCCAGGCTCTGTCCTGTAAAGTAGGAATATAGCAGAAAACTCACAGACATAATCCCTAGCATTACGGAACTGGCACTCAAAGTGGGCACAGAGAAGTAAGCTAGTGTAGCAGAATGATTTGTTAGAAATGTACTATAACCTGGGTGTAAAACAGCTGTGTTTTATTCCTCCTCAAATACAGCCAGGACTTTTGGTCCCAAAGGCATGGACTTCCCTTACCTGCTAGGTGAGTTTGTGAGTAAGCTCTTGTTTTCAAAAACCCAGGTGAGTGACCATGCTGGTCACTAAGAGCCACTCTTTAGACACAGTTTTCAGCCTGCGCAGGGTTTTAAAGACACTGGATCTCAGCAGGTGGAAGACCTGGCATCTTGTGCTGATGTTAACCACTCGCTTTCTGCAGACAGCTGGGTTCAGGAAACTTCTCTATGCCTAATGACGAGGAATTGGGCTGGCAGCAGCTCACAACCTTGGCTGCAGATTAGAATCACCTGGAACTTCAAGTCTCTATCCCCAGCCTGCACCCAGACCAATTAAATCAGGTAACCTGGAAGTAAGAGCCAGTCAGCAGTTCTTAAAGTACCCAGGTGAATCCAATGGGAACAGCTGGTCAGAGATGAGGAGTTTGCAGCTTTGAATGCTGGAGATTGAAGAAAGTGTTGTGTCAGTCCCTTCAAATCAGCTGCAGGAGGGGAAGTGTTTGGGTTTCTGCTTCTAGTTGTAACCAGAAACCCTCTCAGGCCCAACACTCCAAGGATAGCTAGGTCTCAGATGGGAATGGCAGTCTGGCACACAGAAGAACCAAACTTTTTTAGCCCGAGCTGCAGGCAGGGGAAAGGGCTACTGCCGGAGGCATGAGGGCAGCCTTCTCGAGGAGGCCATGCCGTTAACAGGCAGAGCAAGGAAAGGAAACAGGCAGCCAACGTGGGTCCTGGGAGCCTCACGGCTCTTGTTTAGGGAGATCCCAGAAGCAACCAGACCTGGCTTCCTCATAAGCTGAATCTCAGGGCTGGATTGTGTATCATTTAGAAAGAATAAAAAATGTGTTACTTTTCTTGCCTTAAGCATCATGGAAGTACTTCATACATTTTCCCCACTCAGTGGTCACACAGGGGCGGTGCTGTGAGGAGGAGACGCCAAGCTGGCTAGTACTTCTCTGTACCGACCACTGCCCCTCTGCCACCTATACCTGCCCTGCTCAGCTCCCAGCCACACCCCTACCCACCCCACCCCACCCCACCCCACAGGACACAGCCTCTGGGCAAGGGCTGGCAATGATACAGAGACCTCCATCAGGACCCCCAGGGGCAGGGACACTCTCACCCTCCATGGGAAGTGATAGGTTGGGACCTTGGGCTCCAGGCAGCCCAGTCCTCTCAGGGCCATAAGAGCTCTTCCTTGCACTACGACTCCCAGGGGTAGTGCTGCTTCCTCAATCCCTCCGACCTTCTTGCTCCCTACCCATCCATCCCAGACCAAGGAATGTGAATGCTTCTGAAGTACCTGTCCAGCCCCTCTTTCTTCTGCAGACAGGCCTCTCTCCCATCCCTCTAACTTCACCTCACAGCAACTCTACACCCCAGTTTTCTCCTGAAGCATATGGCTTTAAGAACCTTCCCTTGCTTTCTGTTGGGACTATGGACTGTATTATGCAGAAATAAAATACTGTGAGGTTGTTCTCCCTGTTGGCACAGCCAACAAGGACCAGCCAGCAGCTTTGTAAATGGCTCCCTTAAATCCCAGCTCTGTAGTGGGGCAAAGACTCCCACAGCCCAGAGCTTCTCAGCCTCAGCTACAATGATTATCACCTCAACAGGTTTGAAAATATGAGATGCCTGGAACCCCACTTCCCGGAGATTGTTTTAATTAGCCTTCAGTCTGGAGGAGGTGCGGAGAGCTCACCGTCAGGCTTAAGTTTTAAGCCCTCCCAAATGATGCTAACGTGTGGCTAGGGTTAACAGCCACTGCAGTGGAGCACACCGGGTCTAATTTGCCAAAAGTCCTGCCTCGTTCTTCAAGGCAGCTTATCTGAAGAGTCACAGTCAGGGATGGGACAAGATGAAATAAAGCCTTGTCACTCATTACCCTCCAGGGGGTCTGCAGGCTGCTGCCTGGTGCTCCCACTGCCTCCAAATTCCCCTCCAGGTGGCACCGGCACTTCTGGGGCCACCCTCTCTCTATGAAAAGACATATTCTGGGATAACTTGTGTTTGCCTGGTGAACTTGGTGGACTTCCCAATCAGGGAACTTTTTCTGAGCACACAGGCTGTGAGGGGTGAAGCAGACACATCAGACCCAGCTCTGGCCCTGCCTCAAAGAGTCCCTTGTCCAGCTGTAGAGATGAGCACATGACCCAGGGCCGACCTGTGCACAATGGCCTGGGAATACAGTGCGCGTTCAGGGAAGGGAATGGACAGGGTACTTGGCAGTGGAGACGGCAAGATCAAAGTCCTGCCTGGCTTTGGGGAAGATGGAAGAGGAAGGAGTGAGGGAGGGCTTCCTGAGAAGAGGCAATAGATTATGGAAAGCCCCAGGGTAAGAAAGTGTGTAACTGCGGGTGTTGAACAATGAGAGCACATGGACACAGGGAGGGGAGCATCACACACTGAGGTCTGTGGAGGTGAACCAGGGGAGGGAGAGCAGGGGGTGGGGTGTTGGGGAGGGATAACATGGGGAGAAATGCCAGATACAGGTGATGGGGAGGAAGACAGCAAACCACATTGCCATGTATGTACCTATGCAACAATCCTGCATGTTCTTCACATGCACCCCAAAACCTAAAACGCAACAAAATATATATAAAAAAAGATGCATCATAAAAAATAAATTTCCTTAAAAAAAAGTGTTTAAGTGTGTAAGTGTATGAGGAAGAGAAGACGGGAAAGATGGAAAGAGAAAAAGGTGGTCCCCTTCCCACCCACCCTACTGCCACCCCCTTGACTAAGGTCCCTGTCACCTAATCCCTGGAGTTTTGCATCTGCTGCCTCCTTCTTTTCTAACCCCTACAGCTAAAAAGGGGGAGTAGAGGGTGATACCCATGCACTGGAGCATAATCCAAGCTATCACCTATCACATGATCACATTCAACCATGCAACAATTCCTCAGTATTGTGTAATTTCTAGACCATGCACACATCTCCCTACGTGGTTCACAGGTGGTCTTTTTATAGTTGGTTTGTTCAAATCAGGATCTGTCCACACATTGCACTCAGTGATCTGTCTCTTAAGTTTCTTTTCATCTAAAAGTTACTTCCCCATCTCACCTCCTTTTTTCCACACCATTTCTTTTACGAAGACGTGGAGTCACTTGTCCTATAAAATTGCTCAATTAAATTAAAATGGGGGCCAGGCCTGACGAATTCCTGCACAGACAAAGCCAGTTAGGCCTTCTAAGTGAGTCTAACCTGGCGTGATTTGCAAATACAAGCAAAATTTAACTTGAGCTATTTCTTGTAAATGCCTACATTAAAGAAAAACAGAACTGAAGCTCAATGAATCAGAAGCAGCCTAAAAAGTTAATAATTGTATAATGAGGGGCTTTCCAACGGGATAGGCAAAATAAGACAGCTATCTAACCCGACAAATATTTTCTTGGCTTTACCTCCAAGTGCCTGTGAAAGCCTCTCCCTCTGTGGAGCTCCAGAACCACTTCTGGTTTGAAGCTGCCTAATTCACGAATCATTGTTTGTTCAAATAAACTCTGAACATTTTATTGTGCCTCAGTTTATCTTTTTAACAGACTTTTCCTCATTCTGATTATGGCTCACTACATCCTATTATGAGGTTTAATTTTTAAAAAATAAATAAAAACTGAGATAATTGGCCAGGCATGTTGGCTCATGCCTGTAATCCCAGTATTTAGGGAGGCCAAAGCGGGCAGATTGCTTGAGCCCAAGAGTTTGAGACCAGCCTGGGCCGTCTCTACCAAAATTAATATAAAAATTAGCAGGGCATGCTGGCACGTACTCGTAGTCCAAGCTACTCAGTGGGGCTGAGGTGGGAGGATCACCTGAGCTCGGTAAGTCGAGGCTGTAGTGAGCCGAGATCACACCAATGCACTCCAGCCTGAACGACAGTGAGACCCTGTCTCAAAAAAAAAACCACTGGAGACGTACCTGAGAAATATCCTCCAGAGAAACAGAATAAACAAAACATTAAACTTCGTTTTCTTGTGCTGATCCTCAACTTGTGGTTTGAAGGGAGAGGATGCAGCTAGGTCTATTCCAAGCAGACTCTGGGAATTACAGACTTTCAGATTGTGACAGGAAAAGTAGTGAATGGGAACAAAGAGAGGAGGAAAATGACACTGAGGTTTGAACCAGCTCAGGAGAGGTGAAGAAAACTTACGTGTGAAAGAGGATTTTCCAGTCACTCATCCCTCTGCAGCCTTTCCCAGGGAAAGAAAAGCCTGGCACAGCCGCAGCCAGTGGCCTGCACTGCCCCCTGCAGGCAGAAATCGTTCAGCAGGGATGATGCTCTGGTTCCCCGCACGGCTTTGGAGGAAGCAAGCCTGTCATGGGAAAGGTTTCCAGGACTCCTCCCCAGGCGACTCACCTGACACCCTCACCTGCAGGTACAGGACCACCAGTACTGTCACCCTAGGAACATGTCCCACTGCACCTGGAACCAGAAGTAATTGGGAATGGAGGGGAAAGAAGGCTTAGAATATGCAGAGCCAGAAGTTAAATCTGTGAAAAAGTCTCCAAGTCATCAAATATATACAATTAATTCCACAATCTGGCATTCTCACTGGCATTTAGTCAAAATGGAAGTTCTCTACTCTCAAGAATATACTCAAGAACACAGAGTATTCAGTTGTAAATGCACCATTTTTTTCTGTGTTGATGGGAATTTGGTGGAATACACTTTTTCAGATTTCCCATTTGAAAAGCAGTCCTGTAGAATACTACAGTGAGTAGTCAGTATCTGAAGTTGTGTGGCTTCAGAATCCCATACAACGATCAATAATAAAACAAAAGTTTATCAACTCTTAAATAAAAGGCTAGCTTATCTTTATAATTTTTTGTATGAAAAATATTATAAAATTGCAATTATTTGGAGAGGTGACCACAGCATATGAAGCAAAAAAAAAAAAAAAAAAAAAAAACCTGTAGGAAGAGGTAAATCCTTATAGAGATGTGTTGGGAAGTTATTTCGTGAAAAATAGTATGTCATAGTTCAGGGTTTGGGAGGTTTGTGGTATTTGGCACTTGCTCAATTTGTGTTTTGTGTCTTCATATTTTAAATAAATATGCACTTTTACACACAAAAAAAAGAAAACAAGTAGAAAAAAATTGAAGTTATAAAATAGACGAATTAAGGAATGATAATTAGCTTTGCACAGTTTGATTTAACAAGAAAAAATTCTTTTAAGTAGATAGTGCTCTCCTAGGGCATTTTAATTACGACTTCATAGACACTGCTTGAAAAGGACCTTCGAGGTGATCTTATGCACTTTATTTCTCAGACAGCCCAGGGAACCAGGGCCAAGAAAAAGAAGCAAGTCCAGAAGTCCCGCTGTGAGTCAGTGACAAAACTAAAGTTAGAAGCCAGGCCCCTGCCTCCCGACCACAAGCGCCTGCCTCCCAGGGCTGGTTTGCAGCCCGCCGAGAGGAACGGGGGCTGTTCCTAGGCACTAGATCCATCACTTACTCTCAAACACACACATTGACAAAAGCTCCTCTCCACCTCTGCGCCACAGCTCTGCAAAGCCGGGTGCTCCAGACGCCGCAAACCGAGAGCCAGGCTTTTCCTTCACAGCGTTGTTCTTAATCCGTCCACCGCACCCTCCTAACAGGCAGGGTCTGAACTTCCCAGCTTTCAAGGCTGCCGCGGCACATGCCGCGGGTGCCCCTGCTGGCCAAATGGAATATCACGTTATCACAGACCTGGCCGTTCCTCCTTTTTCAAAAACATATGGATAGATGATAGATGAGATGATAGATGATAGATAGATATAGATATAGATAGATGATAGATGATTGATTGATTGATTGATAGATAATAGATGATAGATAGATTGATTGATTTTGGGCCAGTCCCCAGCGGTTGAAGGATTCTCAGGTAAGATAAGGGACCAAAATAAGTGACAACTCTCCACATTAGAGGACAAAGGAAATGTTCTATGACAGTCGTTGTGTTCATGCTCAATCGAGACTATGGCAATCAAAATTCCATCCACAAGATCCTGAAAGGACAAAGCTGAGGTCGTGCAACCCAGAACTGTGCCTTGAAATTTAACGTGCATAGACATCACCTGGGAATCTGATAAAAACGCAGATTCTGGTGAACTAGGCCTAGGGTAAAGCCTAAGATCCTGCATTTCTCATAAGCCCCCAGGTGATGCTGCTGGTCCAAGCATGAGATTTATAGTAGCAAGATTCTAGATGGAAGGGCATGGACTTTGTAGTCAGATGAAATTGTGTGAGCCTCAATTTTTCCACTTACAAGCTGTGTGGTCCCAAGCAAGGGACTTAAATATACTGAACCTTGAATTTCACATATGTAAAATGGGCATGACCCACCTCCCTCACTGTACTTTTGTGTGGACTGTATAGATAGCATATAAAGCTGCCTTGTGTGGATGTAGTAGACATTCAGTAAGCGGTGACTGTCACCATCAAGGGGATTTTTCCCAATAGGTTCACAGCTACACCAACTCACCGCCCGTGGATACCGGATATGGATACTGATTTACACAAGCATGTAAATCACAGCATCTCAAACTTATGGGTGTCATAGTTTCGTTTATTAATCCCTGGCGGCCAAGATTAGACCCACCTATATCTGCAAACCCAGAGGCTTACGGTCAGTTTAGAGCTGAACCCTTAGCAGTGGTCTCAGTCAGCCCTGATGAATGCACATCTTCTCTCACATCCAACCTGGAAAGACACAGAAGAAATAAGATTGATGTCTTGTCACCACACTGGAGGTGAGCTGTATTTCACATGTGTGCTGGGCAGACAATGAAATGTGACCGGCAGATAAATAGTCTAAGAGAACATAGGGAAAGACTCTATGCTGTGGAGCTGGAGGGCATGGGTTCATGTACTAGCATCAATATTCTGTAACTGAGCAATATCAACAAGCTTAGTAAGCTATTTGAGCCTCAGTTTTCTCATCTGTAAAACGAGATGATGATGATGATGATGATGATATATCCAGATTAGACACAGAATGTGAAGTGATTTGAAAATGATCATCCCCCTTGCCTTGGCGCCTCTTGTGTGAGAGAGCTTGGAATTTCAGATAAATGGAGACCCTTTCTCCACTATTAGCTCTGTATCCATGGACCCAGGAAGTTAGAGGCAGAAGATGTTACAGAAATGTCCATTTGTAAATAAAGCAGAGTGCAATGTATTAGACAGTCAAAGAGTTTAGGTCCCTAAGTGTTGAAGGCCTATGTCCACATCTGAATGACATTTTGAAGCAAAGAGTGACTGAAACAACCTAGGTCCCATCTCCATAGCAGAGTGCACGTGACCCTTCTGCATTGGCTGCCAGCCCTCTCCATCCCTGATGAAGATGTGCATTCATCAGGGCTGACTGAAACCACTGCTAAGGATTTAGCTCTAAACTGACCATAAGCCTCTGGGTTTACAGATATAAGTGGATCTAACCTTGGCAGCCAGGGACTAATAAATGAAACTATGACATCCGTAAGTTTCAGATGCTGTGATTTACACCTCTGTGTAAATCAGTATCCATATCCAGTATCCACGGATACTGACAATAGTACATGAACCCAGACCCTCCAGCTCACCCCAACTCCATCCCCATAAATGCCAAACTCCTGCAGCTCCCCAGGAGGGTGCCCTTTTCACACCTGTGCCTGTTCACATGCCACTCACTTTCCCCTCCCTCCATCCTCCCCAAACTTGTGACTCAAGGACTAGGGAGGGCTCTTTGTTGCAACAGAAAGAGGATGTCAGAGAGCTCACAGAATTACTGGAAAGGCTACCGAAAGCAGCTAGATAGGTGGACAGGATGAAGAAAACACAATCAGAACCACAAGCAAGACTATAGCGCACAACTATCCAGGGATGAGCCCTCTGCCACCACCTCCAAGCACCTGAAGCCATCAGTGCATGCGCGGACAATGCCACGGCTCTGCAGGCTGAGCCTGCCCCTGCACTGCCACCATCAGCAACACTCCACGAGCATCACAGTAGAACCAAACCTTCCCTGGCACACCTTCCTCTGCATGTCACACACACACACACACACGTCCTTGAACTGTGCTCCCAGAACCCCTTAAACTTAGTCATATGGTTTTGTACTTTTCTAAGTTTCTATGACTGTCTCAGGACAAGCTTCCCCAAAGCCAACCTTGAGAGGAGGAGTCATGTTATGCACATCTGATTTATGAAGGATGTTCTCCCAGGGAAGATGGTAAGAAACCCAGGGGGCGGGGAAGTGCGTAGGACCAGTAGAGGAGAAAGCCAAGCCAGGGAGTGATCTCAGGCAAAACTGAAGCAGAGGGTGGCTTCGGGCTGACCCCTAGGGGAACTCAAGAGGGTAAGCTACGTCTCAGCATTGTGCCAACCCAAAGCACGTGGCTGTGCTTCCAGACCCCATACCTGAATGGCCTGCCCTCATGGCAGCCAGGCCTGGAGAAGGAGGGTAGAAACGTAAACTCTGAGACATCTCCTTGCAAAGTGACTCCAGTTGCCCTAGAACAGTTCTCTGAGGAGGAGCAGCCACTGTGGGTTATTGAAAGTGCCATGTCAACAGCAGCGATGGCAAAACAGGCTCCTGTGGATGGGGCAGAGCCATGGGGCTCTCTGCTCCCATGAGCTCACTAGACCCCACCAGCGCAGCCTGTGTGTCTAATTCAGCTGAATGTTCCCAGCACCCGGCACTGGGCAGGAGCTTAACAGGCCACCAGAAAGTGTCCCAAAAGTGAATAAAAGCTGTCTAGGTAGGGCATGTGGTTTTCAGGGTGTAAAATGAAGTAACAGGAACAACGACAGACCGAAACAGCGGGAAAGCAGGCAAGGGTGAGTGCATTCCAATCTGGATTTACATTCTCTTCGTTATTGACAAGTCGTGGCCAGCATGTCTGAGGTCAGAAGCTCCCTGTGATTAGCAAGGATCTGGTGGAGTCTCCTGTCCCTCCCTGCTCAATGAACTCTGATCTCCAGAGCAGTGAACACACTTTTGGATTTCTCAGACACAGCAGCGCTACAACTTCCCATCCCTCTGGGAAGAAGATTGAAGCTGGAACTAATGCGAGTGGCTTTCAGAAGTCACAGAAAATACCCAAAGGACACGGGCGAGGGGCTGCAGTGGCTCACTTCTCCGTGCCTGCCAGCAAGTGGAAGGCAGGGCTAGACCAACTCATAAGCTGCTGACAGACGTGCCTTCAGGGACAGAGCCAGAGGAATTCATCCAGGCAGCCTCTGGAGGAAGGGCTAATTTTAGTCCCGTGCCTTGGAATTGACCAAACCCAGATAACGTGCAGAGCCTACAGGCTATTTCCTGCTCCCATTGTAGAGTGGAGAAGCAGCAGAGTGGAGTGATTTGGCAAAGACCTGTTTGTGGATGCTAAAATGTTCTGAGACCTTTCAGTCTGGGTCATAGGGGATGGCCCCAGGAGTGCGGCAGACCACCAAGAGAGGGGACCACCAAGCGAGGCCCTCCTGTAAGTCACCATGACCAGTCATGCCCTCTGTGGTTTCGTGCTTACCACCAGCACTGGCCTCTGGAGTTGAGGGCTGCTCTAGTGGTGAATTGTAAGTGTCAACTCAGCTGGGCCCTGGTACTGAGAAATGTGGTAAAAATTGATTCTGGATGTTTCTGTGCAGGTGTTTCTGGATGAGAATACCATTTAAATAGATGGACTGTGAGTAAAACAGATCACCCTGCACTCAGTTGAAGGCCTGGATAGAACAAGAGACTAACTTTCCTGGAGCAAAGGAGAATTCTGCAGCGAGGCCTTCGGAGCTGACTGCAACATCAGCATCCCCCTACGTCTCCAGCCTGACGCCCCCCCTTCCCCCCTGGGTTAGCTTCCAGAGGCACGTGAGTCAAGTCCATAAGTAAACCTCTTGTATATGTGTATGTGTACGTGCATATGTGTGCATGTGTATACACACCCCCCCATTGGTTCTGGTTTTCTGGAGAACCCAAATACACTACCATCAACAAAATCTTTAGCCCCTGCTGCTGGAGACCACAAGACTGGGCCTTAAGAAGCAGCCAGCAATGTCAGAGAGGCAGATGCAGGTTGGCGGGTCAGTTTAGAGCACGTGATAGAGCATCCAGCAGGAGGTGTTAGAGGTTTCCAATGTGGCTTGCCTGGCAGAGGACCACACCAAGGACTCTTGGGGAGGCCCCAGCAAGTGAAGACCTGACAGACAGACCAGGTACAGCACATTTCCAGAGCCTATGGCCAGGATGAGACTGACGTCTGAGAGCCAGAGGATACACACCTGGCGGATGGTGTCAGGAGAGGCAGGCACAGAAGTAGTCTAGGTGACGTCTAGCTGGAGTCTAGTCTTGAAGGAGCCTGGTAGGAACCTGTCCAGTAGCAACCTCCTGCTGATGCCACTAGCAGGTCCTCCCATCCTGGCACTGTGGGTAACCAGCAAGGTGTCCTACTCACTTTGGGTGCAAGCTGTCTCTCAGAGGAAGGCTCAATGCCAGCAGGGCCATGGCCAGGGGACGAGGCCTTCTATCCCTCAGCTTTCTCTTTCCCAGGGCTCTCATTACTTTCAATGCATTAACACATGACGGTTTCACGTAGTACAGCGATGGCTGCAAAGGACACTCAGAGAAACTGAGAGCTCAAATCCCAGAGGCTCGTGGAGTGCAGGCCTGGTGAGGGGGCAGCGCCATGCTCTGAATGTTTCAGGTTTTTGACCGGCAATCAAGCTAAGGGGCAAAGATGCTTCCCAAAGGGTCCTGGTCCTCCAGAAGAGAGATAGCCCACAGTCACTGTGGGAGAGGGGACAGTGCTACAAGGACATAGAGAGGGTGAGAGGTGACAGCAGGCAGGACTCCAAGAGGGGCCTGGGAGGAGGGAATGAGAAATGTGGAAGCCCAGTGCACTGCTGGGGCAGCCCTGCAGGCCAAGGACTAAATCAGGGACTTGAGGGACTCAGAACAATTCCCCAGGACCCTGAGCAGTCAGCAAGGGCGAGACAGCGCTGGGTGGTGACTGGAGGAGGAGGGGCCTTGTTTGGTGCTCCACTGGGCCTGTTCTGGCACCCATATACACACACACACACACACACACACAAACACACACATGGAGACACTCACACAGACACACACACAGAGACACTCAGACACACACACAGACACATACAGAAAGACACACACAAAGATACACACAGAGTTACAGACACACACAGAGAACACAGATACACACACAGACACAGACAAATATACAGAGGGACACACACACACAGAGATGTATACAGGCACAGATACACAAACACATAGAGACACAGACATACAGGCACAGACACACAGACATACACACAGATACACGCATAAACATACAGACACACAACACATACAGATACATACACACAGGCAGATACACAAACATACACAAACATACACAGATACACATACAAATACACACAGATACACACAGAGAACACACACTAACACACAGATATACACAAAGAACACACACAGAAAGACACACACAGGCAGAGATACACAGACATACACGCAGATACACACACAGACACACAGAGAAACACAGAGACAAATACACAGACACGCAGATACACAAACACACACAGATACAAAAACATACAGAGATACACATGCAGACACACAGATATACAGACACAGGTACATACACAGACACACACAGATAAACAGACACACAGACAGGCACACAGATACACACAGACATATACACATACACGGCCACAGATATGCACACATACAGACACACAGTACACAGATATATACACACAGGTAGACACGCACACAGACACAGATAAACACAGAGACAGACACACGCAGAGACACACAGACATAGAGACAGAGACACACACAAACACAAACACAGACGCACACATACTTTCTAATTTTTGCCCTAGACCTCCCTCATTCAGAAATCTAGACATGAAGCACACATCAGGAATGTTTTCACAAGGAAACTGGAGAAACTGTAGATCAAATTCTTACCTTTCTGAAATTTTTCTCAAATTTTTTTAACCATAGAAAATTTCTAACATATACACAAGTAGAAGGAATAGTGTCATGAACCCTCAAGTACCCATCACCCAGCTTCACAATTACCAATGCACAGTTGGGCTTTACATTCAAAGGCTGTAGTCCAAGCGTAAGTGACCTGTTTAGAAGACCACAAGTTAGATGAAACCAGTTCACCCTTGCCCACTGCAACCCCTGGGCTTGATAGAGACCCTCCAAGTTGGCAAATGAAAAAGAACTGGAGAAGAGAACAAGATAGTCATATCCTGCTGGGCAGCACCAAAAGGAACCTGCACCCGGAGCCCTGCAGGCTGAGCCCTGGGAAGGGCATGCACACCCAGCTTGGCTGGGGTCTGAGGGTAGACAGCAAGCCTTCCCACATCTCCCACAACAACGCAGAGGAAGAAAATCCACGTGGAGGTATCCAAGGTACCTGTTCTCCCAAGGTATTTCCCATACATCTGGATGGAGGCAGTCCAGAAAGAAGACAAGCCCTTTCCTGGATGTCTTTGAAAGAGAGCAAAGCTGGAGTGTTTTGAAGCTGGGATGAGACTATGGGCTGCTACTGTGTGAATCCTATGGCTGAGAGCTATGGAGGGAAACCTCAGCCAGGGTCCAACAGGGAAGCAGGACAGAACCCAAGAATCAGTGGATGTTGAGAAGGCTAGAACATCTCCTGTAAGGCAACACCTAGCCAGCCCCATCACATGCCAGGATAAGTCATGAATCCCCCAATGCAGTAAATCCACCTTATGAAGAAGACAGGGTAACGAATTGGCTGAGGTTAACCTGAAATAACCAAATTTTATTCTCAGCAAAATGGGAAATTGATATAAATCGTGTTCAAAAATCAAAGTTGCATTTCTTGCACAGCTTCCATAGTTATGATGATTAAATGCCATAATCCTCACAAAGATATCATCCGATTCTCACTATCCAGTGCCCCACAGAGGAGGGCACTTAACCTTGGAAACACAGACACCCTATTTCTTTAAAATACACCAGTGCAGAGGCCCACCCCACATCAATGGTATCAGCATCTCTTCAGTCGGAACATTGTTGTTTGTTTGTTTGGATTATTCTAATGTGAGAACAACTGGAAACTGCTTTAGATCTTCCTGTTCACGCCTGGCATGTAATCCTGCAATGTACCGGCAGGACAGACATAAGCCCACCACTGAAGATCTTTTACCTCTTTGTGAGATTGTTTTCTATCCTTCTGTTCTTGCAGAGTTTCAAATGCAGCCATATCAGACTCAGCCTGAAACCCCAACTACAGTTAAACTTCACCTCTCCCTTCTAATTTGCCAGAAATCACCTTAGTAGTTTCATCTCATGCTCCAACTAGCCAGTGAGGAAATGACAGTAATCATTTTGAATGGCTATCCCCTACTTCTGCAGAAACCGTAAAACAACTACATGGAGAAACTGGACAGAGCTTTCTGGTAAGTGGAACTGAAAGTCTACATGTTCTATCAGCAGCAGAGCCCCAACTTCCAGCCTGAAAGGACTCATGCAGGGATCCTGGACTACAGGTTCAGTTAAAGAACTGCAAGGGAGCCCAAGACAAGAGAGCTCAGAGTGTGCTGACTACAGTTGTGTCCTTCTCTGAGGAATCCCAGAAGTCTGTTGTTTACTTGGTCTTTGGAGACACCAAAAAGGAAAGAATCTACAGTACTCACTCCATAGGGAGAGTGGAGGAAGCTGGAAGAAGTGGAATTGACCTTTAATTACAGACTATTCAAATGATCACAAGAAATGTACCAAGAATGAGTTTATTGCTAAAAATGAAACCAAGTGGGACACAAAGAAATGGATCTAAGGCAACATATCAAAGGGTGTCATAAAGGAGGAGGTACCGTGCCATCCCATGGTTCAGTGACTACTGCCATGTCTGTCTCTCCGGGTATGGAGGGAAAGGTAAGAGTCACCTCATGGTGAGGTCACATAGACTCCACAGCAAAGTTTCAGTGCTGGAGGTTGCTGTGA